AGAGCCAGTTTATTCCTCCACAAGGGCCTCTGGCTGACGGAGACCTTCTGAAACAGCACTCCAACTTGGTGGTGTCTCGGGTCCCACCACTCTTTACAAAGATCCTGCTGCCCAGGCCAAGAGACCAGAGGTCTCATGCCCACAACACAGGCTGACGCAGCTCGCAGGGACCGCTGGCAGAGGCCAGAAGTGACATAAAGGTTGTGCTTTTTCCCACATCTTCTGAGAGTGTGAGAAGTGATGGGATTAACAGGGATGATTTGGATGCTGCAAGAATCCTTCCTGTTCAGGGGAAGCCACACTCAAGATCTAGCTAAACGCAGTGGGCTACTCTCATTATTTCCGGCCAACAAGATACCTACACGGAGCCCAAACTCAAAACCTTTCATCTCCACCACCCCCAGCTGCACCATAGACATACTATGGCAGAAACAATATGGGCAGGACGCAAGGGCTGGTACTGGTTCCGAGGCAGTTTTCTTCCTGTACCTACACTCACACCCCGAGCTGCCATGCGTTACTGCGTTTGGCAGGAGAGACGCATCAACCTGTGCTGCTGCCTCCCTACTGTCGTCCGAAATACATACAGCACAACTTTCCGGAGGGTATGGATGAACTGAAATCCATGCTGCTGTCATGCAGTACGTGTTGGATGGGCTGTGTGAGGAGCTGTGCTCCTTCTTCCTTTAAGATGTCCTCCAGTTACACCAGCTAATAGCTACGTTCATCGGAACTAAGGTGCATTGATACCTATTATTAATGATACTATGGTTTCTCTCTCTGAAAATAATTGGTGGGGCTTCAAACATCCTGCTCAGCCCAGCCACGCCAAGTTTCACTTCAATCAAACCACACAGAGATTGTGACTTCATCTAGAACTTTTATTTCAAGGAGTAGAATTGTTTTGAGCATATTCACAAGAATAAATATAAAATTACTCTTCAGAGTAAGAAGACGAGTTTTTATAAAAATATATCTCTATCCCACAGAACCACTTAGGTGAGGTTCTCATTAGGAAATATTATTTAATAAAAAAATAAAACACTGAAAACAAAATGCTTGACCTATGCTGATTGGATCACCAAACAATTGAAATTTTTAAGAGAATATAAATATTGTAAATATTGTTAATAAAAATAACATTTAAATAGATGGGAAGCCACTGAGTCCATCCTGATGAACAGAACAGTGTAGGAAGCCACCGTTTCTTCTACAGGGCACCAACTTCCTTGTATTCGCTGGCGTTCGTTTGTCTCTTCTTGCTTCGGTACCTGGAAGGAGAAGAGAAGCGTGAGTTCTGGAAAGCCGGTTGCTCCAAATGGCTTTTTGGGGAAGGGGGAGAAGGATGAAGGAAGAAAAACAATGCTGTATGACCTCCTTACGTTTGTTTTAAACCTCTAGCAGCTAGGCTCTGTCTGTGCTCATTTCCAGGTCTGAGATAACTTGTACGCAGTCTCATTTCTCAACTCTTCCCTGAAGATTTCACATCTGCATTAAAGTCTTGGTGCTGGTGCTAGGTTTGTCTTTGAGAAATCCTGCTGGCTCCTTCCCTCCAATAGGCCGAGTACCCTAACTGACCAGGACATCTTCTGCTTGAGACGACGCGCCATCGGGTCTCCAGGTAGGGATGAGGAATTACAGCGGTCACATCTAGCTATCAGATCTGCAAAGCCGAGCTCTCCCTCTGGGGGTTGTTCCCCCTTCTCGGCTCTCTGACAGCTGCTTACAATTAGTTATTAGCCTGAAGAATGATTCTTGCTGCTTGTGGGTCTGTTAATGGAGAAGACTACTGTCCTCCCTGGTAAAGCTGATAAGGCAAGGCTCCTGATATCACAGTCACCACAATAATGCGGCAGATAAACAAATTAGCTAGTATTAATCCAGTTGCTCTCCAGTTCCTGATGACTGGACAAATGGCATTACTGAGAAAAGGAACTAGAACTTCCCTATTCCCTGTTTGCTCTACCCTTTACCTCAACACACCCTCTAAGAGAGACGTGAACTAAGCTATACAGTCCTCCATCATCTGAGGGTTCCGTTGCCGAGCCGGCAGTTTGGGCTATCCTACGTAGCCAGCATACTTCCTTTACTGAACACTTCACGTAGTGCAGGCGAGCAGGTCTGTATGTCAGACTACCTCCCTGCAGTCAAGTGAGTGTAAGTATCCCAGTCTAGCTGGAGGTAGTCAGCGGACATCTTGCTACACATACAGCTGAGTTGCCTTCCTGAGCCACAAAGAAAATCTTTCTTACCTTCTGCAGATGTAGTAGCTTGCAATAGAGATGGCGATGAGGAAAAGCAGAACGACGATAACTGTCAGTGCCACGTACTCCTTACTGAGGGGTTGTCTGACCAGTTCTGAATGCACGCATCGGACACCAGAGAAGCCCACATCACATCTGAGGGTAAAAGACAGAGAATTATAGACATAGTCGTGGGGTTACTTCAGCAGTCCACAAAGCGTGCTACACTGCTGGCCTGCTATTTCCTCAGGGACAAGCCATTTGAACTGATGTAACTCAAGCCCACGTGGTCCTAGAAATGGTTGCAAATTCTTCAAGTAAATGAGGAATACCCTTAAAACCGCCTAGAGGGTCTTTATTTTGCAGGCTGAATCAAAACATAGAGTTTGCTGCTTTGCCTGAGGTCTGGATCTCACAGCACTGTAGATACAGATGAACAGGGGAGCACATCAGAATGAGCGTCCCAAGTTTATGTCGGGTCGGTGACTAATTTCAAGCGTCTAAGACTCTCACCCAGGTTTCACTGGAGCCAGCACACATGCTTAATACTTGCTTAAATGAACCTGCGGTGTATTATGGATATACTGCTCCTTTTTAAATTCCGTGAGCATTTAAATGCTTTGCTGGATTGGTGTCCCAGCTAAGCGTCAACAGCAGCGAGATCAAAGACCATGCACGGCACCCCCCAGGGAGGCGTGCAGGACGCATTGCGCCCTGTCCATACCTGCAGTAGTGCTCATCCAGGTCCACTATATAGACGCACTGTCCGTGGAAGCAGTAGTCCTTCATTTCTGGCTTGCATCTAGTTATCCCAACTTGAGCCACACGCGGACTGTTCTCTGTCTGGACTGTAAGGACATTTTGTTAGAATCTCAGCGCCCTTATTTTCCCTTTGTATTTCTCAAACAACATAGAAGCTTTACAAATATGACTAACAAGAGACCTTCAGCGCAGTCAGCATCAAAGCAAGAGACAACGGGGAGAGGATTTTCCCAGGCCAGAGTTATACTGACTTTTCACAGAATCACAGAATTTTCAGAGTTGGAAGGGACCTCTAGGGATCATCTAGTCCAACTCCCCTGCTAAAGCAGGACTGCCCAGAGCAGATTACTCAGGACTGCATCCGGGCGGGTTTTGAAAATCTCCAGAGAAGGAGACTCCACAACCTCCCTGGGCAGCCTGTGCCACTGCTCTGGCACCCCAACTGTAAAGAAGTTACTTTTCCTTAAAGAGTTCCACGTAAGCGATTTCTGCTTCTACAGCAGACTTCTCGACCAACACAGAGCTCTTCTGCTGAAAAAGAAATATTAAAGGAAATGCAGGCTAAAAAATGGCTCTCGTTCAACAAGGACACTAACTTAGTGCTGTCGTGCAGTTCTCCATTTCACCAGGCCCACATAATGGGATCACTGTTGTGCCCAGGACTGCCTGCAATAGGTAACCTGTGAGAGAATAAAAACAAGAGTCAAAACTAGATGCTTTTCAAGTATAGTTAAGTATTCCAGCTGGTGTACTCATTAGGTTAATACAAGAAGAACAAAGGCTTTTTATCTTAGGAAGAAACCTAGCCCTGTAAGCTGAAAAAAATATAGATCAGAGATCTGCTGGCTAGATTATATAAGGTAGCCCAAAGAAACATCTCTGAAATACAAAATTTTTGTGTAGAACAGGGATCAAACAGAAACTCGGTGTCTGTGACCCCCTCGCAGCCACACTCTGAGTGAAACTGGGCAGGAAGAGGCTTGGAGAGATTACACAGGAGAGGCAGAAATTAGTCCAAGTTGATTACGTTAGCTTTCTGACTAGTCTGGCATGGCACCTGCACAAGGGACACAGCCAGGGTGCCACAATTAAGCATGACAGTCCAGCATTCATCGCAGGAGGAGTTCTTTTGGTGATCAAAATCAAGATGTTCTTGACTCACAACAGTCCACGGGGAGAGGATTTCCTAGGACTCAGCAAGTCGGTGCAGCTGGTGAGTCAGCAGGCCAGTCAGTGCCGAGCCCGGCTCAGCGCCCCACCACTGACTTCAGAGACCCCATGCTGCTCGAGGGAGGCTTAACACAAAGGCTGCCCTTGAGCAGCAAAGAGCTTCCTCAACGCTCTACTTGCTGTACCCAGCCCTAACGGCTGGACGCTTCCTCCACTAATACCCACTCTCGTGTTGGAGGTTTTCAGGTGAAAGCCCACTGGCAAAGACAACTAACACGAGATACCAAACCCTCTTCATCTGGTCACCGGGTTGGAGAGGTCACTGACGATTTTACAGATCCTGGGCCAGTGTTACTTATCCGAGCAGAACCCCAGAAGAAAACTTGTACACTTCTGTCCTTCCTTTACCACCCACACTGAAGAAAACTGCAGGTTCGATGTGGGTACCAGACATAACAGGAGACTGCACCATGTCAGCTGTATAGTGCTGCACAGGCACAGCTTTCAGGTATTCTACCAGTTAAATGAACAATTCCAAACAGGATTTGGAGGTCAACACAAGTACTTGCAGCTTCATGGCTAGCCCATGAGGAATAGTCCATGTTTGCCCCAGCTGGCCATGAAATCCACTTGGCTAACGCTCCTGCTGTGGTCACAAACTAACCTGCTCATGAACTGCTTAGTCATCAGCCCCATTCCACAGAAGTCTGTAATTTGTGTCTTTGGGCTGTTTGCCTCTATTAACTTGTCAGGTCATGCATGTCTAATGGAGGGAGTGTGCCCTCATAATTTCTTGATCACTCTAATTCAACTCTGGTTATTAGAAAGTTTCATTACGTCTCCGAGTTAAATCTAGTAGTGATTTACGGGTTTCCTGCAGCTCATCTATTTCTGGGTGATTAGCAGGCTTCCTTTAAGCTTCCCTCCAGCTGG